AATGGTATGCCAATGATCAGGAGTGGGCTTAGAGAGAGGAGGAGCCATGTGGTTAGTGGGGTCTGCCACCATTGGGGTGTAGTTGGGTCGACAGGGTGATACCGTTTTCGGAGAGACTCCCGAACTTTGGCGAGGATGTGGAGATTGGTTTCAACTACACCTGTTTCATTGATGTAGTAGTAGCGATCTTCATTGAGACACGTACAAGTTCCTCCTTTCTCGGCCATGAGGAGGTCCACGACACGTCGGTTCTGACGAGCTACCTGGGCCACCGGGTTTATTTGGCGTTGTCGGGAAGCAAAAGACTCTGCCGAAGCCTCGATAGCCATCTGAGGCCTCTCGGGTAGGTCCCTGGAGGAATCTGCAGAGTGGAATAAGGGACCCGTACCCAGTGGCCACCAGGGTTGAGGCCAGGGAGACCCCGACCAACCAGTGGGAGAAAGATCACTCTTTCCGCTTTTCCGGGGGGCTGGTGAGGAGGGCTACTTCCGCCTGACTGTAGGTGGTTAATCGCGGAACTAGGGAGACAGGCAGACAGGAGGGAGGCAGAGGTACTGAGAGATTTAGATACGGTGCCCTGGCACCAAAAGAATCGGCCAATAGCAGCGTGATGAGAGGTGATGTTTGACCGGGTGACGTTGCACAGGGATGAGTTAGGGGCGGAATAACAGAAGGGGAATTGATGGTTGAGAGGGTCAGTAAATAGGGCAGCATTAGTGAGAGAGGGATGAGGCAGGTGCTGGAGGTGTGGGTGGGTGCAGGGCTGGTGCAGCTGAATGCACTTGGGGAGGGGAATGGCCACAAGGGGAGTTTTGCCTAAAGCGGCACAGATAAAACGGTGGGACAGATTGCCCATGCAGGAAAGGCTGGCGAGGGAAGTGCCTTGTTGGATAAGTTTTATCCAGGAGAAGGGGCCCTGGTCCTGAGTTGGATTAGCCTGTAGGTGGGTGTTCCTGGAGTACGGGTGACTGAATCCACATGGGCCCGCAGGAGGGCTCTTAGAAGAGTTAGGGAAGGTAGGTAAGTAAGATAGGAGAGGAGGAGGTGATGATGGAAGATTTTAAGTGAGCAGGAAGGGCCGCCCCGTAGAGAAGCTCAAAGGGACTTAGGCCCGACAGCCCTCTAGGGGTGGCTCTGAGCCTTGTTAAAGGCAGCAGGAGGAGGGTTGGCCAGGACAGGTGGGGTTTCAAGGGTAAGTTTGGTGAGATGTTCCTTGAGAAGGCCGTTGGCCCACCCTACCTTACCCGAAGACTGGGGGTGATATGGGATATGGAGTTTCCAGGTGATACTTAGGCTCTCGGAGTCTTGCCGGGTGATGCTGGAGATGAAAGCCGGGCCAATGTCAGATTGTAGGATCTCCAGGAGGCTGAATCTCAGAATGATGTGTTCGATGAGTATGGTGGCCGCCACATCCACCATTTCCCGAGCTGTGGGGAAAGCCTCTATCTACCCTGTAAAGGTGTCCACTGAGGTTAATAGGTAGCGAAAGGATTTATGGCACAGCATGTGGGAAAAGTCAAGCTGCCAGTCCTTGCCAGGTTGGTAGCCGTGGAGCTGGTGATTGGGTCCTGGCCTGCGAATTCCCCCTTCAGCATTTACAGTGGAGCAGGTTTTGCAAGACTAATGCACCTCTCCAATTACCCTTGGGAGATGTGGATAGTGGAAAAGGGGTCCTGGGAACTGGTGTAAGGCCTTGGGACCAATGTGTAGGGATTGACGTATGTCTGAAATGATCATAGGAGCTAAATGGTTTGGAAGAGCGAGTTTCTTTTGAATGAAGATCCAGTCTTTTTCCCCGGCTATTCTTCCCATCTCTTTTAGTGTCTGAGTTTCCTCATCGGTGTAAGAGGGGGAATGTGGTGTGTTGAGGAAGAGGAAGGGAGCTGGTGAGGAGCCTAAGGCAGTGGCTTGGGCAGTTGAGTCGGCTTTGTTGTTGGCCCGGGACCCCGGGTTCTTGGAGGATTGGTGTCCACGACAGTGGACGATGGCTACTTCAGTGGGAAGGCTGAGGGCCTCTAGTAGTTTTGAAATGAGGGGCCCATAGATTATGAGGCTTCCCTTGGTTGTAAGAAACCTTTGCTCTTGCCAGAGGACAGAATGTGTATGTGTGACGAGAGAGGCGTATTTGGAGTCCGTGTCGTTGGTAGCTCGTTGCCCTTTGGACAGGCGAGGAGCCCTGGTGAGAGCTCTAAGTTCTGCCTTCCGAGAGCTTGTCCCGAGGAGGAGGGAACTGCCTCTGGGATGGCGTCTAGGGTAACGACGGCCTATGCTGCGTGTCTCTGGCCACAAAGAGTATTTGGTCAGGGTTATGGAAGGGCTGATTGGAAAGTCCTGGATGTGGAAGAGTCAGCTCTTCCAGGAGTTGAGAGCAGGGATGGGAGGGTTCTGGGTTAGTAGAGGGGGTAGGTAGGAGGGTAGCAGGACTTAGCCGAGGAGAAGCTGATAGATGTCAGGATTTTCGATGAAAAGGAGCTGGGCAGGAAGGGATTCTTAGGAAGGAGTGTGAGGAAGAGAACCCATCCAGGCTGCAAGAGAGGAGTGGGGCAGTCCGTGGAATAGAGGAGGTGCCATCAGTTCCCATCACCACTACTGGAGAGGGGAAGCTGTCCCCCGAGTAGGAAGGCACAATGGAGTCGGTCACCCCCGTGTCCAACAGGAAAGAAATGGGCTTCCCCACTCCCTGGAGCAGGACCCTGGGCTTGGCCTGGGTTATGGGGTGTCTGAGTCTGGGCCCCGTCAGTCATCGTCCAATCCGAGTAGTTGAAAGGCTGGACTTCCCGGCTCAGGGTTTCTTTCCTCTGTGTGGAGGCACCGAGGATCCTCCGAGACCCGGGCAGGCAGATTTCCAGTGGCCCATCGTTCGACATTGAGGGCATTGCCGCGTTGGCTCCTTGGGATTGGGACATTGACGGGCCCATTGTCCCTCGGTGCTGCATCTGAAGCAAGCCCCAGGCGGGGTTCGGTTGGTTCCCCCTTTCTGCGGGCTTGCGGAGCCTGCCGGCCGCAGGGCTGCCACCGAGGCTTGGGTCTGGAGTTGGACCTTCTACTGGAGCCTGGCCTGCCTCTTAAGTTCAGCCACTTCCTCTCAGGTGTTAAGGACTTTAAATGCCATTTTCACCAGGTCGGGCATGGGAGTTTGAGGACCCTCCTCGGTCTTCTTTAGTTTTCTACGGATATCGGAGGAGGACTGATACACCACTGCAGTGGTAATCCATTTTAGCGCATCTGTAAGGACCAGTGTGTGTGTGTGTGGGGGGGGGGGGATCAAGGTGAGACTCTGGAACAGTCCGCGTGGGAAAAACATGACTCATGATGCTGGGAGTGGCATGCACACGGAGATTTTCTTACCGTTTAAGTTTCCTGGCAGAAGTCTCTCTTTTTATTCGGGTCTGATTCATAAAACACAAACCAGTACGTAAATTTCTCATGAGAAACTTTCCATGAAGTGGTATAAGGAAAGAGGTCTTACAGGTGTTTCTTCCGCAAGTTCTGAAGTTCCGCGTTTTCAAGTGTGACCTTTGGTGGTTCATTTTTCTTCTGTTTTCCTTATGAGGAGAACATTTTTAAAGGAGACTGTATGATTCAGAGCTGTTTTATGAAAGTTCCTTAAGAACGACAAAATGAAAAGAAGGACACCATTTCCTGTAGCTTCACTCTGAGGGACACAACCCCTGTGTCTCTGGCTTGTGACGCTTCCACGGCGCACTCCTGCAAGGATGGGAGCTTGCTGTCTTCTCGCTGGTCTGCGGTGGGATTAGGGATGACCCACGGGTGAATGTGACAGCGGGAAAGCTCTCGTAAGCCCTGGTTTTAATCTGGTTCTGAGTTCAACTGTGGAGTTTTGCCGAAACCCAGGTTTTGTTCTCAGCTTTGTTCTAGGGGTTCACTAGCTCATGACAGAGTTCAGGAACTGGGTGAGTAGTAAGGAAGCCGTCTCTGTTGGAAGAAAAGCGTCTTTATGATCTCCTATCTATGGGCTCATTTTCTAACTTACGAAGCACCGTCAGGGAGTCTTGTGGGCTCTCAACCTGAATTCCGTTTTCACGTAAGAACGACTTTTGCTCTGAACTCCCAGAAAAATGACAGGACGTTTGCAATTTCTGTTTAGATTTACATAGTGTTGCTGCTTTAAAAGCAATTTTTAGTCCTTTACTCGGCCTAATGGTTTTCTACTTTTTCTTACATATGCAAATGAATTAGAATATAGGAATGCAGTTGACATCCAATCATAATTAATGATCATTTGTTAGTTAAAGGCTATTTCAGTCTATAACACTTTGATCCCTAGGAATTTAGCTGTGGTTTTATGAGTTTTCCCGTATGATTGCCCACAAATTTTTATGTTGACTAAAATTGTAAGTGGTTTAAACGGTTCAAATTACTTAGCAATTAAACCTCCAGCAAAATTGTAATTCATTTTAAATTTAGCACAGAGGTTTGATGCTCTTTCTGAGCAAAACAACGGGACATAAGGGTGCAATACGGAAATTCGGTATTTTGCGTGAACTGTTTCCGACAGGACAAAAACATTCCCGGCACTGGGCGTAGCAAAGCCTTCCACTAATGTGAATTAATTTTGTAGCGAAGGATCACTTGGGAGGATTCCTGCTTTTGAGTTTTATCCAGGTTTCTTTCTTTGAAGCACCCTTTCCATAAATTTGTGTTCTATCTCTAATTTGTCGTACTTCACCTTTTGATATTTAAACAACTCACATGCAGCTAACCGAAGTGACGGTAGTATTCGCTTCTATATCAACCTGCTATGTTGAGAATTGCAAAGCCAGAGCACATTGCAAAGAGTCAGTTGGATTTTGATACCCAAAATTGCATTTACAAGGTTCACACTCCTTTGTATTTCACCAGATAGAGACAGCAACAGTGTTCTCATGTAGTGTGTGCTTCAGCCTCTGTGCCAGAATGTATAGTGTCTGGATTTTAATATGTAGTGTTGATCTGTTAACCAAAGTTGTTTTGCTTGTTTTGTTTTGTTTTGTCCACAGAGGCATGGACACCTGCTTGTGGTGAGTCTTTACGCTGAATATACATACTCAGTTGTCGGTATGTATGTATGTATGTATGTATGTCACTTTGAGGTTCTCTCTCGCCAGTGTTACCATTCTTGACAAAAAAAAAAAAGTCTTTGTGTTTGATGTCCTTTCTCGTTTGTTAGCCAGGGTCTACCAAAACCATTACTTTTTGACGACACTTCAGTTTTGGCCCAGAATGTCACAGTCTGTATTGAATCCCTCATTTCATCGATCCCTCGTGGCTTTTAATTAACTTTAGCAGCATTCGAAGATTTTCTTTCACTAAGGGGAGTCAGAGGAATCAGAGTCTTTCTCTACATTTTTTAAGTCATTCCATAAAAATATTCCTGTGACGTAACCTGAACTCAAAACGCGTTTCGTCAAAAGGGAGAATTAATCCAGTTTGATGAGCAAGTTCCGAATTCGATATGCTTTGTTTAATAACTTGGTCCCGATGCTACGCGTCCCGTCTTTCTGTTGTAGTTTTGTGTTCCCGTGCTAATTTTGCATACGTCCTTGCTCAGGAGTCTGGGGATTAGACTGCATTCTATCCCTGTGTTATGTCAGCTGGTATTTTCATTATTTTCATCTTGCTTGCTTTCAGATTTTCCCCTCCTTCCCCAACTTTTCCAATTGTTGAGGTCTTTTATCTTTTTTTCTTGCCTGCTTTCTGGGAGTTTTGTTTAAGGGAAATGAACCTCTTGCTTCTTACAATTTATGTTTTCCTAGCCATCTTATGGCCTTCCTCATTACTTAATTTTTTTAGGAAGATGAGCAGTTCAAAAAAAAAAACAACCAACATGAATATATGTTTTTGTTACTGTGATAGGGAAAAATCTTTATCATTTCTTGTCGAAAGCATTCTTCAACCCCGAGCATTTCACATACTAAAATGAATCTGTTGCCTATACGGAATGGAAGCCTAGCGTAGCAGTAAATGGTTCCCTCAGAAATTTTTTGTTTTTTATTGATTGCTAGCCATTTTGATTTCATTTATTAATGACTTTGTCACTGATCAGAAAACTCTGAGGTAGTATTTCTGTTTACTACTTCGGGAAAAGACTAATTAGGACCATTATTTGTAACTCCAACATAGCTTGTTAATTTTCAAGTTCATCGTACCAGAATATGCGCATGTGTGTGTGTTTGCAATCCTATTGATGTTTCAGAGTGTCTTCCTAAAAATTTACAATGTCTGTAGATAGCTATTTCAACATTGTGTGAGGTCTTATTTTTCTTTGTTCTTTTATTAAAAGAACAGCAAGTAAGTAGCCCATACTTTTGGTTGTGTCCTATAAGAATTTCTGCTTGGAATACTTGGAAAGAATAATGCTAGTGTTATACGAATTTTGTCTTAATCATCAATTATCAACCATTTTTTAAACTATTTTTATCTTGAGTATGATAAATGATCATGTAGTCAAAAACTGTTTAGTTTAAACATATAATGTTCTTCAGTCGATAGTTTATGAGATTCATTTCATAGAAGTGTCTTTATGTTTCCATTTTGTGCTCAGTGTCCTTTTGTAGAAATCCAGATTGACTACTTTACACTGTGCATATATTAGAGCATCACAAATGTGGGCCATCAAAATGATAATTTCATGGTATCGGTGAAACTCTGGATAGAATTTTCTGTCCTATCATCTGTCAGAGCTTTAATTTGTTAACTTTTCATTTCCTAAGTGTACTCAGTTATATCCTGAACCGGAAAGGTCGTTGAATATATGACACCTATAAGTACATACCTATCGAAACTGTAATTAAGATGCACTTTGCCATTTTGACCAAAATGTCATAACAGCAGAGGCACACCTAAGTCTCTTAGTGGGTTTTTGCTTGATGTCATTGAGAGCAGTATAGTCGAGAGTAACGCACTACTGGTCCCTGAGCCTCACATGAAAACACATTCTGTACCAGAGGGTGGAGCATCTTTCACTTCTTCTCGATACCTCTTTTATTTTTTTTAAGATTTTTATTTATTTATTCATAGAGACACACACACACACACAGAGAGAGAGAGAGAGAGAGAGAGAGAGAGAGAAGCAGAGACACAGGCAGAGGGAGAAGCAGGCTCCACGCAGAGAGCCCGACGTGGGACTTGATCCAGGGTCTCCAGGATCACGCCCTGGGCTGCAGGCGGCGCTAAACTGCTGTGCCACCGGGGCTGCCCTCGATACCTCTTATATGTAGTGTTGGTGCTGCTCACTGCAGAAATGACAGAATGAGCATGGGACTACTCTGTAGGCACAGTGAACATTTCCCAAAGTCTTCAAAGTGCACAGTCCCTTCAGGGTAGTAGACTAGCACAGGACCTTGCTAGAAGTTTTTCTTCTTTAAAAATAAAGCCCTTTGGGATCCCTGGGTGACGCAGCGGTTTGGCGCCTGCCTTTGGCCCAGGGCGTGATCCTGGAGACCCGGGATCGAATCCCACATCGGGCTCCCGGTGCATGGAGCCTGCTTCTCCCTCTGCCTATGTCTCTGCCTCTCTCTCTCTCTCTGTGACTATCATAAATAAATAAAAATTAAAAAAAAATAAAGCCCTTTGTTTTTTCTTTCTCATTTCATGTCAGAATCTCTTCAAAAAATAGGACATTTTACTTTGGAAAGAACTTTTCAGATAAATGATCGTTAAAAATGCAATCAGTATATAGAAGTGCAAAAAGAAAATGGAATTGCAGATCTCGTCACTCAGAGACAGCTCCTGTTAGCGCTTGCTGATGTCTCTCACTGGTCACGTGTTCTCGTGCAGATTTAGAAATGTACATATAGGATTTTGTATACATGAGAATCTGTTGATCGTGATGTTTTGCAGCATGCTCTGTCTCCTCCATATATCATAGACATCATTGCATATATTTTATGGATAACAGATTTACATTATAATTTAATGACCTCACAATCTGTTGTTTATCCGTATCATGATACTGCGATTTCACGCTACTTTAATTTATGATATTTCTAAATGTTTACTGTGAAAACAATGCTATGTGTAAATCTTTCCTAAGTTATTATTTTCCTTGTTTAAGCTTGAGAGCTGGTGCTAAAGGCATCCCTCTCTCATTCCCTCTGACCCGTCTTCCCCTTCATGTTTCCACCAAACGTGGTAGTTGCTTTCCTGTGTATACGTGAGGAATGGAGAAGATTGTCATTTTTATATTAAAGTGAACCCATGTTTTATGTAGCCAGTTACAAAAATGTGAGATTTCAAAGAAATGTCTAATTTTCTTTGCATCAGCTCAGTTCTAAAGTTCTGTAACTCGTTCCCTCTTTCCTTTCATTAACAATACTTTGACAGGAAACATTGAGAAATATTCTGAGTGTTTGAAATATCAAATAGTGATTATCCAGTGGGGAAAAGGGAGTAATACTTAATATACTCCGATTTCATCTTTTTATGCCTGCTGGTTTTGATGTAAACACGTGGTGTCAGACTCTTGATGTTTTAGGAGAGCTTTAATAATTAAGTTTATAGTAAATTGTCATATCAGGATTAGTGATAAATACAGTAGCCCATGTTCTGACCTAGGGTTAGCGGTCAGCCAGCTGTTGGTAGAAGTTTTTACTTTGCAATGCGTAGGCATCCTAAAGTATCTCATGGTATCATGACATCTATAATTCAGGCATGAAAAATAAGGAATGGAGGTGAGAATCCATTTTTTTTAAAATAAAATTTGAGGCTTTCGTGGTCTTGGTGGGTGATAGCTACGTGAGCACAGCCCAGTTTTCCCACCTGCAAAAGTCTTACGAAAGTACTGTTCATGCTCCGTCCTCCAAACCCCATAGTCAAATGCTTTCCCCGAATCTCGAGCTAAGCTGCACGAGTGGGAGCTCTCGGTGCTCCCTTGGTCTTGTGGAGCCACTGTAAGGCTTTAATATGCACCGCGGTTGTCGTGGCTTGTTCCTCCTGGCAGTTTTGCCTGTTGTGGAAATAGTCCTCTTCTTCTGGCCTGTGGCTTGTAAGTGCGCTGCTGCCTGCCCACTTCTGGGAGAGGAGACTTGCACCCTTCGACTCCCTACACGAGAAGACCTGCCGACACATTCAGAATAGGGCTGTGGGGCTTCTCTTTTTATAGAACCGAACACGACAAAATTCACTTTGTTTTGTTAAGGAAGGAAGGATGCATACAGCTTACTTTGGGGCAGAAAAATATTTCCCATATATAGATTAACACCTTTCAAATTGATTTTCTGAAATGTCTTATGTGGTTTCTTTGACATCTTCGATTTTATCAGAGATGTTTAAAGGGCAGAGTTTATGGGTGACGGGCACTGAGGGGGCCACTTGATGGGATGAGCACTGGGTGGTATTCTGTATGTTGGCAAATTGAACACCAATATAAAGTAAATTTATTATTTAAAAAATTTTAAAAATAAAACTAAAGGGCGGAGTTTAAGCAATGGATCAGTCTTAACCAGAAAAATGTAGGAGCTTCTTCTGAAAAAAGAAAGGTCAGTATTTCGACTTTGGTCATATGTATACGTTCTAAGAACCAGGGAAGCTGTGTTGCGTTACCTTGGGCCCGTGTGTGTCAGTCGGCGGTAAATGACCGAGATCGTGTGGTTTTCATCAATATTAACACTTACTGGGGCACCATTTCTAAAAGGTCAGGAATGACGGAGCGAAACATTTTCCCGAGAATGCTTTATAAGATGCCTTGAAAACATGAAGCAATTTAACCCACTTGATAGATCGTCCGTGGCTGCTGAGGTAAGGCTGCATGTCCAGAGCGCAGGGCATTGGCAGATACGGAGCAGCGGGGCCGCAGTGTGTGCGATCCCCTTTCAGGGCTCGGGGGCCGGGGGGCCGGGGGCCAGGGACCCGGGGCCAGGCGGCCGGGGCGGCTGAGGATGCGGCTCAGCCTGCGTCGCACACTTTCCATTGTGGTCCTCCTTTCTCTTATGTGGAGAACACTTCTTTGCACACTCGAGTTATTCGTCAAGCATCACACATGTGTAGACTGGTCTAGCGATTTTCTGGTAGGAGCTTGTTTTCATATTTAGGCCCTCGGTTTTTATTGAGTCACCATC